TTGTCCTGTGCAGGGACAGGAGTTGGACTCCAGCATCTTTGTGGGTCCCTTCCAGCTCGCAACTTTCTATGTTGCTGCTGAATAACACAATAGCAGCTTAAGAGGTTGGTGTCATACAGTAAAAAAACACACAGAAGTTTGGTGGTTTTTTTCTGATGAAAATAATACAAATGAGAAAAGTAGTCATATTTTGGAAAACAAAACAACAACAAAAAGAAAATATGGACATTAATACAGAAGTTTGGTGGGTTTTTTCTGGTGAAAATAATATGAATTAGAAAAGTAGTCATATTTTGGAAAATGAAACAACAACAAAAAGAAAATATGGACATTACCTCCTATGATTCCCTTACCCTTTTTGTACTTAGCCCAACTTGCCATTTTTCCACCTCTTCAGGTGTGGGGAAATCTAGCAAAATCCTTATGGAAAACAGCTGCATGAGTGCAGGGATGCACCTCTTCGTTTAACTATTGAGGAAAATAAATCCTATGGAGAGGTGGTGCAGGCTGTAACAGCTTCCCAGGTGTGTGTGGCTGCACATTGCAGAGGGTTTGTGGAGTTCTGTGCTTTCCACCACTGCCCTGTGCCACCACTGCGTGTCTCTGCTAATCCTATCAGAAAGGATTTTACCAAAGTTAATGAAATTCTGGTGAGGATGAACCCCATTTTCCTGGAGTACTGGCCAGCCCTGGGCACCTCAGGAGTGAAAAATGCAGAATGCACCAACCCAGCAGCTCATGACACCAATTTCTGTTACTGTTGAGCAGTTTCCCTATGCCCTCACATATTTAATTAGCATCCTCAGAAGCCCATTCAAGAAGATGGATATTACATTTAGAAACACAGAGGGGAAAGACATGTTTCCAAAGGTCTCATTCCAATTATTTTCATTTTGCATCAAGCATAGCATAGACTGCTCAGATCACTGTTCTCTGCTGGGAAAATCCTCCACAAACATCTCTGACAACAAAGGGTTATTTGCCCAAGGCATCACTGAGGCAGAGCATCTGGAGCATCCTTGATTATTATTTTTAGGGAAGCTTTCACAAAAAAAAATGACAAAGGGGATTTCTTTAGATGCTGATCAACAGTTCAGATGCAGGAACCACATTAATTCCAGATACCATCTATGAAATTTAC